ATGTGAAAAAAGTAAAAAAAACGCCAATCGTAAGTTCGTAAAGAAGAAGCTAAAAAGTGAAAAAATACCTAAAATTTATAAATAGAAGATATACAAAATAAAAATTGAGAACCTAAAAAATCGAAAAAGAGACAACTTAAAATTCGACAAATTATAAAAGTAAAAATACGATAATTGAAAAACCCAAACAATTTCAAAAATCGCAAAATTGAAGAACCAAATTTAAAAATCGATTTTTCAACTTTTTTCAACCTTTAGATTAATTTCAATTTTTCGTTTCCTCAATTTTTGATTATGCAAAAGGATATGAAAAAGTGGCAAAGTCAGTTTTATCTTATCAAATATTAGTCCCGCCCACCCACCCTCTATTTTCCTGGAAACTATGTGATTTGGCAAAATCAGTCTATCTTATCAAATACTAGCCCCGCCCACCCACCCTCTCTTTTCTCAGAACGTATGTCATTTGTCAAAATCAGTCTTATCATAACAATTACTAGCCCCACCCACCCACCCTCTCTTTCCTTAGAAGGTATGTTATTTGCCAAAATCACTCTTATCTTATCAAATACTAGCCCCACCCACCCACCCACTCTCTTTTTTCTTGAGTTCGAGTTTAAAATCGATTTTGACAAATGAAGAATCTTAAACAAATCAACAACTTTAAAAGTCGAAAAATTGAAAGTCTGAAAAATCTAAAACAGAGAAGTCGAAAAATCGGGAGATCGAGAAATTGAAACTTCAAACAATTGTAAAACGTAAAATTAGAAAATTCGGACAATTGAAAAATAGAAAAGTCGAAAAATCGAAAGGTCCAGTAGAAAATCGAAAAATCGAAAATTTGAAAAATCCAAAAATGGAAACTTCAAAAAAATAGTAAAATCGAAAAAGTTAAAAATCAAAAAATGTAAACTTTTAGAAATCGAAAAATTGAAAAATCGAAAAAACGAGAAATCGACGAATTAAAATATCTAAAATTTATAAAATCGAAATTGAAAAAACGAAAAACTGAAGAATTGTAAAATTGAAAAAAAAAATTAAAGTTGAACATCGAAAAATTGGAGCATCAAAATCTCAATAAATCCAGAAATCGAAGTACATATTGAAAAATAGAGAAATCGAAACACCAAAAAATCGAAAAATTCATAAATAAAGAAAACGAGAAATCGAAAATTTGAAAAATCAAAAAATCGAAACCTCAAAAAATAGTAAAATCGAAAAAATGAAAAATTGAGACATCCGAAAACTGAAAAATTGGAAAATTCAAATGAAAAATCTAGAAATTGAAAGTCAAAAAATCGAAAAATCGAGAAATCGAAATAGCCCAAACGGAAAATTAAAAATTACGAAAAAAAAAATCGGAAAATTGAAAAATACAAAAATCGGAACACCAAAAAGTCGGAAATTAAAAAATCTAATATTTAAAAAATGGAGAGATTAAAATATCCAAAAATTAAAAAATCTAAAACTTGAAAAATCGAAAAATGTAAAATTGAAGAAATTGAAAAATTTTAAAAGCTAAAAACGAAAAATCGAGAAATCGAAAAATAAAAAATGTGAAAAATCGAAATTGAAAAATCGAAAAATTGAAGAATCGTTAAACTGAAAAATTCATTAAATTAAAAAATCCGAAAACTGAAATGTCGAAAAATTGTTCTTCCAAAAAAAGGGAGGGTGGGTGGGCGGGGCTAGTGTTTGATAAGATAAGAGTGATTTTGGCAAATAACATACCTTCTAAGAAAAGAGAGGGTGGGTGGGTGGGGCTAGTACCTGCTAAGATAAAACTGATTTTGGCAAATGACATACGTTCTGAAAAAAGAGAGGGTGGGTGGGCGGGGCTAGTATTTGGTAAAATAAGAGCGATTTAGGCAAATGACATACTCTCTCTTTTCTTAGAGGCCATGTCATTTGCCAAAATCAGTTTTACCTTAGCAAGTAATAGCCCCACCCACCCACCCATTTTAAAAGTCGAAAAATTGAAAATCTGAAAAATCTAAAACAGAGAAGTCGAAAATTCGGGAGATCGAGAAATCGAAATTTCAAACAATTGTAAAACGTCAAATTAGAAAATTCGGACAACTGAAAAATAGAAATGTCGAAAAATCGAAAGGTCCAGTAAAAAATCGAAAATCTAAAATTTGAAAAATCCAAAAATCGAAACTTCAAAGAAATAGTAAAATCGAAAAAGTTAAAAATCAAAAATGTAAACTTTTAGAAATCGAAAAATTGGCTAGTGTTTGATAAGATAAGAGTGATTTTGGCAAATAACATACCTTCTAAGAAAAGAGAGGGTGGGTGGGTGGGGCTAGTACCTGCTAAGATAAAACTGATTTTGGCAAATGACATACGTTCTGAGAAAAGAGAGGGTGGGTGGGCGGGGCTAGTATTTGGTAAAATAAGAGCGATTTAGGCAAATGACATACCCTCTGAAAAATCTAAACCAGAGAAGTCGAAAAATCAGGAGATCGAGAAATCGAAATTTCAAACAATTGTAAAACGTAAAATTAGAAAATTCATACAATTGAAAAATAGAAAAGTCGAAAAATCGAAAGGTCTATTAAAAAATCGAAAAATCTAAAATTTGAAAAATCCAAAATTCGAAAGTTCAAAAAAATAGTAAAATCGAAAAAGTTAAAAATCAAAAATGTAAACTTTTAGAAAACGAAAAATTGAAAAATAAAAAAAAACGAGAAATCGAGGAATTAAAATATCTAAAAATTTATAAAATCAAAATTGAAAAAACGAAAAACTGAAGAATTGTAGAATTGAAAAAAAAAAATAAAAATTGAACATCGAAAAATTGGAACATCAACTTCTCAATAAATCCAGAAATCGAAGTAGGTACATATTGAAAAACAGAGAAATCGAAACACCAAAAAATCGAAACATTCAAACATAAAGAAAACGAGAAATCGAAAATTTGAAAAATCAAAAAATCTAAACCTCAAAAAATAGTAAAATCGAAAAAATTAAAAATTGAAAAATCCGAAAACTGAAAAATTGGAAAATACAAATGAAAAATCTAGAAATGAAAAGTCAAAAGATCGAAAAATCACGAAATCGAAATGGCCCAAACGGAAAAATAAAAATTAACAAAAAAAATCGGAAAATTGAAAAATTGAAAAATCGGAAAATCGAAAAATTCAAAAATCGAAACACCAAAAAATCGGAAATTAAAAAATCTATAACTTGAAAAATCGAAAAATGTAAAATTGAAGAAATTGAAAAATTTTGAAAGCTAAAAACGAAAAATCGAGAAATCGAAAAATATAAAATGTGAAAAATCGAAATTGAAAAATCGAAAAACTGAAGAATCGTAAATTGAAAAATGCATTAAATTAAAAAATCCGAAAACTGAAATGTTGAAAAATTGATCTTCCAAGAAAAGAGAGGGTGGGTGGGCGGGGCTAGTATTTGATAAGACAAGAGTGATTTTGGCAAATCACATACCTTCCAAGAAAAGAGAGGGTGGGTGGGCGGGGCTAGTACCTGCTAAGATAAAACTGATTTTGGCAAATAACATACGTTCTGAGAAAAGAAAGGGTGGGTGGGCGGGGCTAGTATTTGCTAAAATAAGAGCGATTTAGGCAAATGACATACCCTTTGAAAAATCTAAACCAGAGAAGTCGAAAAATCGGGAGATCGAGAAATCGAAATTTCAAACAATTGTAAAACGTAAAATTAGAAAATTCATGCAATTGAAAAATAGAAAAGTCGAAAAATCGAAAGGTCCAGTAAAAAATCGAAAAATCTAAAATTTGAAAAATCCAAAATTCGAAACTTCAAAAAAATAGTAAAATCGAAAAAGTTAAAAATCACAAAATGTAAACTTTTAGAAATCGAAATTGAAAAAACGAAATACCGAAGAAATGTAAAATTGAAAAAAAAATAAAAATTGAACATCGAAAAATTGGAATGTCAACTTCTCAATAAATCCAGAAATCGAAGTACATATTGAAAAATAGAGAAATCGAAACACCAAAAAATCGAAACATTCAAAAACAAAGAAAACGAGAAATCGAAAATTTAAAAAATCAAAAAATCGAAACCTCAAAAAATAGTAAAATCGAAAAAATGAAAAATTGAAACATCCGAAAACTGAAAAATTGGAAAATTCAAATGAAAAATCTAGAAATGAAAAGTCAAAAAATCGAAAAATCGAGAAATTAAAAATTAACGAAAAAAAAATCGGAAAATTGAAAAATTCAAAAATCTTGAAATTGAAAAATAGAAAAATCGAAAAATTCAAAAATCTAAAATTTAAAAAATGGAAAAATTAAAATATCCAAAAATTGAAAAATCTAAAACTTGAAAAATCCGTCTTATCCGTCAAGTACAAGCCCCACCCACCCACACTCTCTTTTCTCAGAGCTGTACTTCCTAAGATAAGACTGATTTTGGCAGATGATATATCCTCTAAGAAAAAAGAGGGCGGGTGGGCGGGGCTAGCATTTGCTAAGATACGATTGACTTTGGCAAATCATATACCTTCCAAGAAAATAGTGGGCGGGTGGGCGGGGCTAGTACTTCGTAAGATAAGACTGATTTTGGCTAATGATATACCTTCCACTAAAATAGAGGGTGGGTGGGCGGGGCTAGTACTTGCTTGATACAAGATTGTTTGACATTAACAAACCACTAGAGGAACCCAAGATTGTTTCAAACTCTTTCAAAATTATCAAGAGCCCCCAAAATGTTTCAAGTCAAAATTAATCGCATAAAGTAATTGTAAAAGTAATTGAATTACTTCCGACCGAACTAGTGATTAATGCATACTGAGAAAAAAACACAAAAACGCAAATTTCTTTATTATTAATTCTATGCCATTAGAAAAAATCCAATACATAACATGAAATACAAAGAAAAATTGTTGAATAATAATTATTATTGTGTTAAATGGGGACCTTACTTTTTTAAAAGGAAGCACTTTTTCAAGAATGGTACAATTATCCAAAAGTTCATTTTCATTAACACTTCCAATTTTTGACATATTGGTTATGTAGGTCGACCAGGGGGTTAAACTGTACAACCAGCACAAGCAGCAGCAAGCCGTTCGGAAATGGAAGTCAGCCCTCAAGGCGATTCGCAAGCGGGAGGACAAGTTCGTGCTCCTGGGGTACCTCTGCCAGGCTTACATGGACTGGGGGAAGTACAGGTGAGTGAATTTCACCAAACTTCAGTGAAAAACTAAACGTAAAAAAAATATCTATGTACATATTAAATTTGTAAAGTTCACGAGTAACGAGCGCCCCCGATCGCGGCGCGCTCCGCCACAAAGCAAACACTTTTTAATTTCGATTCAAATTCCCTTCACTTCTGATAAAGTAAAACACACAGATTAATTCAGCACGAAAATTCCTCCCTAATGCGAAATTGACAATCCGCTAATGTTTATTCAGCCTGCAAATCTCCCCGAAAACAAAGGGTTACTTTTTTACGGCGACTCAACTTTTCGACAACACTCCACAAAAAATCCATAAATTCCCTTTTAAAAACTTCTCCAACTTTTTACACTTTTTACGCTTGCCGTTACATCGCAATAAGCCTAATTCGGCGCCCGTTCAAACCGGCGGCCTCATCAACAACAAAAACTGGAAACTTATTTATGCAGAACTTTGTTCGGGGGAGGTCGGCGCTGATTTCTTCGGAGGCGCGATTTGGAAACGCGATTTTTTTGATAACGGGGATGATGGCGCGAATTTGTTTCCAGTGGGCGAGTACATGGTGGAGCGTATGACGAAATATTGACGTGGTTGAAATAATGATTTCAGGATTTCAGGATTGTAATATGCGGGATTTCAGGATTCACAGTTTAAAGACTTAGAATTTCTGAATTAAACTATTCGGAATTTCAGATTTCAGGATTTCACGTATCTAACATTAAGTGTGTACCTACTTTGAACTTTATAGTTAAAGATTTCAGTGTTGCAAATTTTACAGTTTCCGAATTTGAAATTCCAAGGTTTAAGATTTAAGATTCAAGATTTCAGACTTTTCGAATTAACATTCTCAAATTCAGTGTTTAAATTTTAAAAATACACAACTTGAGGTTTCAGGAATCAAAGATTTAGGATTTTACGACTTTGGATCGAGTATCATAATTTTAGATTTCAGAATGTCAAGAATTCAAAATTCACAGTTTTAGGTCTTCAGGATTGTGATTTTCGGATTTCGTATTTTCGACTTTTAGAACGTCAAAATTAGGAATCTGAAAATTTTGTATTTCTGGATGCAAGATTCTAGTGTTTAAATTTTGAAAATCCTCAATTCAATGATTAGGAATCACAAATTTAGTACTTCATGACTGTGAATTTTGGGATTTAGAATGCCAAGATCAGGATTTGAAAATTCAAAATTCCAAGATTACGATTTGTGATTCAGTTTTTTCGGATTCAGGGTTTTTGGAAATATGAATTCCAAAATTTCCTGATTTCGTATTTCTGGGTTGAGAATTTCGGTATTTGAAATTTCAAGATTCGTGACTTGAAGATTTTATTATTCTGAATTCCAGATTCAAAGTTTTAGGTCTTCAGAATTGTGATTTTCGGATTTGGTAATTTCGACTTTTAGAACGTCAAAATTAGGAATCTGAAGATTTTTTATTTCCAGATGCAAGATTCTAGTGTTTAAATTTTGAAAATCCTCAATTCAATGGTTTAGGAATCACAAATTTAGGATTTCATGACTGTGAATTTTGGGATTTAGAATGCCAAGATCAGGATTTGAAAATTCAAAATTCCAAGATTACGATTTGTGATTCAGTTTTTTCGGATTCAGGGTTTTTGGAAATATGAATGCCAAAATTTCCTTATTTCGTGTTTCTGGGTTGAGAATTTCGGTATTTGAAATTTCAAGATTCATGACTTGAAGATTTTATTATTTCGAATTCCGAATTCACAGTTTTAGGTCTTCAGGATTGTGATTTTCGGATTTCCTAATTTCGACTTTTAGAACGTCAAAATTAGGAATCTGAAGATTTTTTATTTCTAGATGCAAGATTCTAGTGTTTAAATTTTGAAAATCCTCAATTCAATGATTAGGAATCACAAATTTAGGATTTCATGACTGTGAATTTTGGGATTTAGAATGCCAAGATCAGGATTTGAAAATTCAAAATTCCAAGATTACGATTTGTGATTCAGTTTTTTCGGATTCAGGGTTTTTGGAAATATGAATTCCAAAATTTCCTGATTTCGTATTTCTGGGTTGAGAATTTCGGTATTTGAAATTTCAAGATTCGTGACTTGAAGACTTTATTATTTTGAATTCCAGATTCACAGTTTTAGGTCTTCAGAATTGTGATTTTCGGATTTCGTAATTTCGACTTTTAGAACGTCAAAATTAGGAATCTGAAGATTTTTTATTTCCAGATGCAAGATTCTAGTGTTTAAATTTTGAAAATCCTCAATTCAATGGTTTAGGAATCACAAATTTAGGATTTCATGACTGTGAATTTTGGGATTTAGAATGCCAAGATCAGGATTTGAAAATTCAAAATTCCAAGATTACGATTTGTGATTCAGTTTTTTCGGATTCAGGGTTTTTGGAAATATGAATTCCAAAATTTCCTGATTTCGTAATTCTGGGTTGAGAATTTCGGTATTTGAAATTTCAAGATTCATGACTTTATTATGCTGAATTCCGGATTCACAGTTTTAGGTCTTCAGGATTGTGATTTTCGGATTTCGTAATTTCAAGTTTTAAAACGTCAAAATTAAGAATCTGATGATTTTGTATTTTTGGGTTCCGGGATAGTTTAAATTTTGAAAATCCAAAATTGAGTGTTTTAGGAATCACAGATTTAGGACGTCATGACTGCGGATTTCGGGTCTCATAATTTTAGGTTTCAAAATGTCAAGATCGGGATTTGAAAATTTGGAATTCCAAGATTACGAATTGTGATTCAGGGTTTTTGGAATTACGGATTTGCGGGTTCGAGTGATTAAATTTCGAAAATCCACAATTGAGTGTTTTAGGAATCACAAGTTTATGGTTTCATGACTCTGGATTTGGGGTATCATAATTTTAGGATTTAGAATTTTAGGATCGGGATGTGAATATTCAGAATTTCTAGATTACGATTTTGGATTTAACGTTTTAGGATTCAGGGCTTTTGGAATTTTGATTTCCATAATTTTGTGATTTCGTATTTTTGGATTTAGAATTTCGTCCTTTGGAATTTCTAGATTCATGATTTTATTCTGAATTCCAGATTGACAGTTTTGAGTCTTCAGGATTATGATTTTCGGGTTTCGTAATTTCAAGTTTAAAAAGTCAAAATTAAGAATCTGAATATTTTGTATTTCTGGATTTCGGGTTCTAGTGTTTAAGTTTCGAAAATCTGCAGTTGAGTATTTTAGGAATCACAGGTTTAGGATTTCATGACTGTGGATTTGGGGTTTCATAATTTTAGGATTCAGAATGTCAAGATGGGGATTTAAAAATTCAGAATTCATAGATTACAATTTGTGATTCAGGTTTTAGGATTCAGGATTTTTGGAATTATGGATTTGGGTGTTCGAGTATTTACATTTCGAAAATCTACAATTCAGTGTTTTAGGAATCACAGGTTTTGGATTTCATGACTGTGGATTTGGGGTATCATAATTTTAGGATTCATAATGTCAAGATCAGAAGTTGTAAATTCAGAATTCCTAGATTACGATTTGTGATTCAGCGTTTTAGGATTCGGGGCTTTTGGAATTATGATTTCCAGAATTTTGTGATCTGGTATTTTCGGACTGAAAATTTCGGCATTTGGAATTTCCAGTTCATGATTTTATTCTGAATTCCAGATTAACAGAAGTAATTTTCAAGTTTCGTAATTTCAAGTTTTAGAACGTCAAAATTAAGAATTTGATGATTTTGTGTTTCTGGATTCCGGGTTCTAGTGTCTAAATTTTGGAAATCCAAAATTTAGTGTTTTAGGAATCACAGGTTTCATGACTGTGGATTTAGGGTCTCATAATTTTAGGATTCAGAATGTCAAGATCGGGATTTGAAAATTCACAATTCCTAGATTACCATTTGTCACTCAAGTTTTAGGATTCAGAGTTTTTGGAATTATGGATTGGCGTGTTTGAGTCTTAAAATTTTGAAAATCTACCTTTGAGTGTTTTAGGAATCACAGGTTTAGGATTTCATGACTATTTATTTGGGGTATCATAATTTTAGGATTCAGAATATCAAGGTCGGGATTTGAAAATTCAGAGTTTGTAGGTTACGATTTGTGATTCAGATTTTAGGATTCAGGATTTTTGGAATTATGGATTTGCGGGTTCGAGTGTTTAAATTTTGAAAATTTACGATTGAATGTTTAGGAATCACAGGTTTAGGATTTCATGACTGTGGATTTGGGGTATCGTAATTTTAGGATTCAGATTGTCAAGATCGGGATTTGAAAATTCAGAATTCCTAGATTACAATTTGTCACTTAAGTTTTAGGATTCAGGGTTTTTGGAATTATGGATTTGCGTGTTCGAGTGTTTAAATTTTGAAAATCTACAATTGAGTGTTTTAGGAATCACAGGTTTCATGACTGTGGATTTGGGGTATCATAATTTTAGGATTCAGAATGTCACGATCGGGATTTGAAAATTCAGAATTCCTAGAGTCGGAATTTAAAATTTCAAGGTTCATGACTTGAAGATTTTAGTATTCTAAGCTTTGAAGGTTAAAAACCTCTTGATTTTCTATTTCTGGATTGCGAATTCTATAGGTGTATAAATTTTGAAAATTCACAGCTTGAGGATATTAGGAATCACCGAATTAGAACTTCATGACTCTGGATTTCGAGTATCATGACTTTTGGATTCAGAATATCAAGATCAATACTTCAAAAAAATCACAATTTCAAGATTATGATTTGTGATTGCGTGTTTTAGGATTCATGGTTTTTGGAATTATGATTCTAAAATTTCTTGATTTCGTATTCTGGACTGACAATTTCGGCATTTGAAATTTGAAGATTTTAGTATTCTGGAATCCGGATTCACAGTTTTAGGACTTCAGGAATGTGATTTGCAGGTTCCGTAATTTCATGTTTTAGAACATCAAAGTGCAGGGTTTAAGGGACTAAGATTTCAAGATTAAAAATTTCTTGATTTTATATTTCTGGATTGTGGGTTCTATAGGTGTTTAAATTTTGAAAATCGG